GAGCCGACTCCACGGCACATAACCACCACCAACCACTGCCTTTACCTATGAGACATAGGCTTTGTAAAGTGCAATGGCTTTTGTGAGTTAGCATGACTGATCTGAAACTCAGCTCTTCCAACTCTCTATCTAGGATTCTACATGCTACACAAAACAAAGTTGTTTCTTCCCTTTGTTTTTATACATGTAGACCTAAAAGCTTCTCATTTCTCATAGGACTCTTCACCCACGGGCTCATTTGCAGCTGAACTGTTTCATTTTTCCCACGCAGTTGGTTGAGAACTGAGATCCCAATTCTAGCTAAACAAGGGCACATTTGAACCCCAGCACTTTTTAGGACCTAAGGCTCAGACTGTGGCCTCCCAACTCTGAGTCATTCTGGAGTGTAGGCTCTACTCAACAACACAGAGCCATGGGAAAGTGATCCTCTCCTGAGCCTTAGCCCCATTGAGCTTCAGGTCCACCAACTGAAGGTCAATGTGGAAGACCCGTACCCACACACTCACTTCATATAAGAGTACAGTTACCTACAGCCTGAGGACCCCCTGACTGACATCACCTTAAAAGATAGCAGGCAGGATCCATGCCAAAAGAGCTTCTGGGAGAAAGCTCATCTTCTATGATCTTCAAGGAGAGGGAGTCAAATTGCAAGTCACGGCCAATTCCAAGAACTATAAATCAGAAGACTTTATTCATATCAATAACAACTGTACCGGAGACACATCACTGGAGTTCGGGGAAAACCAAGAAGGGCGAGCTGAGGATCATTCCCTACTGCTTCCCTGTCTGCGTATTCTGCCTGATCTTCACTTCCTCAAAGACAAAGAAACCCAATATTGTCAAAGATACCTAGACTTGATCCTGAATAATTTTGTGAGGCAGAAACTTACCATCTGCTCCAAGATCATCACATATATAAGAAGTTTCTTGGATGAATTGGGATTCTTAGAGATTGAAACTCCCATGATGAATGTCACCCCAGGGGGAGCAGTGGCCACGCCTTTCATCACCTACCACAACAAGTTTGACATGAATTTATATATGAGAATTGCTCCAGAGCTCTACCATAAGATGCTGGTGGTTGGTGGTCTAGACTGGGTTTATGAAATCAGACGTCAGTTCCAGAACGAAGGAATTGATTTGACTCAAGACCCCAAGTTCACCACTTGTGAATGCTACATGGCCTATGCAGACTATCACAATCTCATGGAAATCACGGAGATAATGGTTTCAGGAATAGTGAAGCACATTACAGGTGGTTACAAGGTCACCTACCACCCAGAGGGCCAAGCCTATGAGGTTGACTTCACTCCACCCTTCTGGAATGGATCAGCTTGTGGATGAGAGAACCCTAGGGGTACAGCTGCTAGAAAGGAACCACTCTGAAAGGAAGACACATTGCAAAATCCTTGATGATATCTGCAGAGCTAAAGCTGTTGAGTGCCCTCCACCTCTGACCACAACCAGGCTTCTGGTTAAGCTTGTTGGCAATTTCCTGGAAGTGACTTGCATCAATTCCACTTTCATATGTAACCACCCCCAGATAATGAACCCTTTGGCCAAGTAGCACTGCTCTAAAGGGCCTCTGACTGAGGGCTTTGAGCTCTTTGCCATGAAGAAGGAAATATGTAATGCCTACACGGTGGCATATAAATATGTAATGCCAACCCCATGTGGTAGTGGCAGCTTTTTAAAGAACAGGCCATGGCCCAGGCCACTGGTGATGATAAGGCAATATTCATAGATGAGAACTTTTGTACCACTCTGGAATACAGGCTGCCCGCAAGAGCCGGCTGGGGCATGGGCATCAACCATGTCACCATGTTCTTCATGGACTCCAGTAACATCAAAGCCATGAAACCCAAAGACAAAAAGGAGAATGTAGTCACTGGTGAGCACCAAAGTAGGCACTTTTGTCTGGAAAATAATGATTGCATGTCATGTCACTCAGGCATCTTGGCATTTTTGCAAAAAGATCTAGGTCTACAAGGGAACACTTGTGCGCTGCACTCCATTTGGTGACCACAGTTCAGCTCATAGACCAGAAGAGAGGTGAATTAAGAACTCCTCTTTATAGCTTATCAAATAAACCACTTGTCTGTCCCCAAAAAATAAAATATCTCATATATATGTGTGTGTGTATACATATATATATGTTGTTGTTATGTGCCGTGGAGTCGGTTCCGACTCATAGTGACCCTACACAGGGTTTCCGAGGCTGTAAATCTTTACGGGAGCAGACCACCTCATATTTCTCCGGTGGAACCTTTGTAGTTTCGAACTGCTGACCTTGAGGCTCGCAGCCCGATTCGTAACCACTACGCTACCAGAGCTCCATATGTATCTATATATCTATATCTATAGATATATAGATGTAGATGATATAGATATAGATAGGTACAACCTGTCCTATTAAGTTCCAAGACGCCAAAGCACTAGGAACTTACGTGTGGTATTACTGACTTATTACAATGTTTTAATAGCGACTTACAAAGGGTAAAACAAGTGAAATTAATTTTATTTCTTTTTATTTAACTCAATAAACCGAATATATTGTAATTTCAACAAGTAATCTAAAACATAATTAGTGGGATTAAAAAAAATGTTTTTTTTCACTAAGTCTTCAAAACAGCACACATTCAACTACCAATTTCAAGTGCTAATAGCCAGTGGCTATTGTAGAGGTTTAGAGACTTACAGAATCCACAAACTGGTTCAGGGAGGAATAAAGTCCTCATCAAGAAAACGTGCCGGGTCCCACTCGCCCTTCACTAAGGGATCTGGCTCCCAAAGGTTCTGCGCAAGGTGTCCGCGCTCTGCACGGCTCTCCTCCCCAGCGGACGGCCCTCGGTCTCCAATGCTATCTCCTTCGCTCCGCGGAGCCCGGGCCACGTCGGCGCCGGACCTCCCCTCCTGAACCCAAGCGGCAAGCGGATGCCCCCAGCTCGGCCGGGGCGGGCCGGAGC